GGGCGTGCGCATGACTTGAGCTTCAAGTAATTTGGAGTGCAAGTCAGGTATCTAGAGTTTTAATATTATTAGGAAATATTAGATGTTATGAGATATTTTATTGCTTTTAATTATTCATTTAGGAGATCTAGTTTGGTTAGACTTAGATTTAATTTATGCACCTATAAATACTCATGTACCTCTTCATTATTAAAAGGAGAAAAATTGATGAGTGAATAGAAAAGAGGAACATTGTGTTCTGTCGTGTGTTTAAGAAAGGCCGTAGTGCGTGTTTATCATACCTATCGTATCGGAGAGAAGGCTCTGATAGCGTCTTGATGTCACACGTGTCTAAGAGAAGGCCTGAGTGTATCTGTTAGTCACACCTATCGTGAATGTCCTTAGTGCGAGATTATCCACAACAAATAGACAAGAACCGCGATCGTTCATCATTGTCGTGCTCGAAACAATACAACGAAAGACGGACCAAAACCAGAAAGTTGAAGAAAGAGTCCGGGCAAATAACAATCATCCACTTCACCTAATCATCACAAAACAGAAAATAAAAAGGTAAAAATAAAAAGAAGTACCACCACCTGAAAAGCTTTCAACCTCCAGGATCCAATTTCGATACGACCCAAATCGATACGTTTTATGTGGGGTAAACACGAAGCAATTCCTGCGTAAGTTTCAGTTTCTCTAATCTCTCGATCTTGTTCACAAATTGCAGATCCATCATCTTTGAATGACCCTTGTATCTGCCTCCTTTTTTTTTTTTTTTTTTACCAATTAATTTTGTAATTGTTGATTGCAGATGAAAGTTTGTGGTGTTTCAGCTTTTCTTTCTTAATTTTTTGTTTTTGTGTAATATGTGAAATCTGATGTTAGTTCTTGATAAAAATTTGTTCTGAAGCTCAACCCTTTTTCAGCTTTTCAAGCTTCTTAATTTGTTTCAATCCGTTTTCCCCCCAATTTATCATAGGTGAAACTGTTAATTCCTGCTGCTGTATCCATGTCTCAATTTGTTTCGGCTTTTCAAATTGACCCTTTTTTATGTTTTGTATCAATTTGTGTGGTTTGAGGGTAAAAACGAATCCTTAAAGCTCAAATCTTTATTGGTGGTGATGACTGCTAGCAACGTAAGAAGTAAAAGTTGTAAGATTCGCAAACTATTTACGTCGTCGCTCGATTGCAGACTTAAAGTTCCAATCTTTTTATCATCTGCCCTTCGAACCGAGTATTTATGTGTAGCCTTTCAGACTCTTTTGTTCCAACTGTATATGTCCTAGGATATCTATTTTACTTACTTAAGGTTAATGGTTGGCTTTCATATGGTGATAACCTCTTGCCTTGGTTGTTATGTTTGGCATATAAGTTATCTGTAATGCTAAATATATTGAAGATAGAGACTAAGAAATTATTGTATGATTCTTTTCTTGGTTTGGATGATTTACTATACTCGTCCGAATGAGAGCAAGTACAAGATATTCTTTATTCATTTAGATTGTTGTTCCCTTGTTTACGATTATAAAGTGAATCGGTGATATTATGGGAATCATTAATACCGTGTTTTTTTTCAGCAGAAATTAATTTTCTAAAAAAAAAAAGAAAAAGAAATGGAGCATGACGAGACAGGATGCCAGTCTCCTCCTGAATGCCCTGTTTTGTGTGTCAACAATTGTGGCTTCTTCGGAAGTCCGGCCAACATGAACATGTGCTCGAAATGCTACAAAGACCTAATATTGAAACAAGAACAAGCCAAGCTGGCCGCCTCATCAATCGAGAACATTGTTAATGGGTCTACCGAGCCGCAATCTGTTGCTGTGCTCGATAAAAGTGCAGAAGCTGGCTCATTACTGGATGCAAAGGCCGTAATATCTTCTCCTTCAGTTAATAGTGCCTCGAGCTCAGCCGATCCCAGTGAGCTCAAGGCGGCTCACGGCCCTAATAAGTGCACATCTTGCAAGAAACGAGTCGGTTTGACCGGGTTCAAGTGCCGGTGTGGGAATCTGTTTTGCGGAGCACATCGTTATTCGGACAAGCATCCCTGCCCGTTTGACTACCGCACAGTGGGCCGGGATGCAATTGCCCGAGCCAACCCTGTTGTGAAGGCAGAAAAGCTCGATAAGATTTAGAGAAGCTCGATGTGTGTTTTGTGTATTGATTTTTATTTATGGCTTCTTCGAGGATGGTTCCAGTTTGCCCTGCCGTTT